TGACACCATTATAATAACATATATGAAAAGGAGGCAAACAGAAACTAAAGTGTTGAAGTATAAAGAGGAACTGTGAGTAAGGCTGAACGGTCAGATATGTTATAAATGAAACTCTTTTGGGCTGGTCTAACATTTTGATTCTGACTTTTCTAGCAGAATGTTTCATCCATAGGATGATAACTAATCAACTACTGGGGGTAACGTGATATTATTCTACAAGGAATCTAAAAGAAAATTTTGTAATGTATCAATGTTATATTAAATTCCATTTACTCATTGATAAAGAGCTGCTATTGGCCATAACAAAGTCTCCAAATGAAGAGATTATGATCTGTCCTTCTGTCTGCTAACACGATTTAACAGATTTTGATCTACCTAAATATATTTTAAGTAATGATGAATCTCTATTCTTTCTCTTAAATGGGACCCATTTGGGGACTAGGAGATAACTCAGGCAGACATTTAAAGTGCTGTCTTCAAAGCCTGATAACCTGAATTTGATCCCCAAAGCCTACAAAAAAAGACAGACATGGTACTACAATGCTAGGGAAGAGGGCTCATCACACTTGTAAGGTAAGCTCCAGGCTAATGAGAGCTCCTGTCTCATAAAACAAGATAGAGGCCTGTTAAGGAACAACACTCAGCTGGGCAGCTGTGGCACATGCCTTTAATCCAAGCACTTGGGAGGCAGAGGCAGGCAGATGTCTGTGAGTTCCACAACAGTCATTGCTACACACAAAGAAACCCTTTCTCAAAAAAACAAACAAAAATAAAAAGAACACTCAATGTTGTCCTATGTCTTAGAAGCCAACATATGCATGAACAGACATACACATAAGAGTGGGAAACAGACTGGTTTGTTTTGTTTGATTGATTGATTGATTGATTGATTGATTGACTGATAGATTGATTGATTGAAACAAGGTCTCATTGTGTAGCCCCAGACTGTCTGTGAGTTTTGGTTCTCCTGACCCTGCTACCCAAGTGCAGGGATAATATTTATATACTTCCAAGCAAAGCTTTAAGAAAGATTTTAAATTAATATGTTTGTCACACATGATTCTTGACAACAATTGAAAAAAAATGATGTTTGGAATAAAGTTAAATTTTTCTTATGTCTGAAATGAAGTTCAATTATTTTATAGAATCAGTTGGACTATGATTTTTTTCTTGAAAACTAATATATACATGAAGCAAAACAGTCATGTTACAATAATCTACTCAAAGAAACATGGCAGAAATAAAGAGTAAAACAACATCAAAGAAAATAACACCAGAACCCAGAGATGCTGCCTTTCAGAATCCTTCCCAGAATAAATGAAATGTGAAATTTAGACCTAGGTAATTTTTGTGTTTTGCTAGAAATTTAAACAATACTAGAAAGGTTTCATAAAATGTCTTTCTATTTTAGAGTGAATTGATGCCAGTTATTTTACTTATTTCAAAGTTCAAATAACTATATAAATGAATTTGACCATATCAAGGATAGAGTGTCAGGAAGCTAGACAGATGGCCTAATGGGTAAGATCACTTGTTGCTTCTTCAAGGGACCTGTGTTCAGTTCCCAGAACCCACATGATAGGTCATAACTACCTGTAATTCAAGTTCCAGAGAATCTAGTACTCTCTTTCAACCTCCTAGGCACCGGGCATGCACATGGTGCACATGCATGCAGGCAAAATACTCATACACATAAGAAAAAAGCATAGAAGACCAAATGACAATAATAGAACAGAATAAAAATGTTCTGATTGCAAAGAAATGGACCTTTCCAAACAACCACTATGAATATGAATCAGGAGCTAGGATTTGGCACTTCCAACTGCAGGCTGATTGGATCATAGCTTTACTTTCTTTACATCCAAGGTCTATTTTTCATTGGCTGGAAGGTTTTAGAGCCAACACATTAAAGGGTGCAAATATTTGTGCTTGGTTTTCCTTTGTGAGATATCTATAGTAGTCTGAGAAAGTAAAGAGCATTTAGCCACAGCAGGAACTTCCTGTAAAAACTGCAGTCAACAGCTCTGCCTTCTTTATAAACATATCCTTTGTCTCTTCATAGTTTCTAGACATTTCTCAAATGTTTAAAGTAGAAACTCGCTCATTTGAACAGAAACACAGACTGTAAATGAGTTGCATCTTTCTTTACTGACCAGTAGTAATATAAACAATATTTCTAAACATATTAGTAGGATTTTATACATTAATGTGACATGCCAAAGGAACCTACAACTGAAGAGATAAAGTAGGCAAAAATTAAATATTCTTTGAAAGATATAAAGATGGCACAACAGAGTAAGATGACTCAAAGGGAAGAGTAGCTGATAAAGATATAATTCTCATAGATCCCCATGGGTTGTAGACAGGCAGGTATGTAGCTCTTGTATAGCCTCTCCCTAGCATGTCTGAGGTCCTCAGTTCAACACCCAGTGTGAAAATAAATAGAGCAAAATTACACTTTATTGATTTCACTCTAGTATAGCAATTTTAGGTCAAAATTTTATCAAAATTAACATAATTGGTAGGAGATATCTAACCTGATTTGACAGAAAGGTTAATTAAGTCAAGACAGAAAATAAAACAATAATAAAATATTTATTATGAACCAATATTTATATTCATATGTCCAAGACCAAAAAAATGTTACTTATCTTCAAAATAACATTAAGTATAATTAACAAATAATTCTAGTCAAGTTTTTAAAATGTCAAATGGAACCTAGAAGGCAAACAACTTGGTTATTTAGTTTAGTAATAATTATTGAACTGAATCTTTAGTCAATATGGCCAGAATAAACTAACAAAAGGGGTATGACATGATTGTCTTTAATTTGGAGAGAAATATTTTAGGTTCAATTCAAATTAGATAAAGATTTAAATGTGAAATGTACCTAGGAATGTTTAGAAACATATTATAAATTTAATATCTTTACCATTTTGGAATCAGAAAGTTTTGAGCAAGTGATAGAATTAGTGCAATCTAGTCAGAGATAATGCCCATCTTTCTCTTGACTCTAGGCTATTTTATTAGACCAAAACTAAACCACTATTGGTTCAAATGGATATAATGGAAGGTTGTCGCTACTTCTAGCTACATGTTTCATCTACATGGGCATGATTTTGTGAACCTATATTTTTTTTCCATAACAGGGTCTCTCTGTGGCTTTTTGGAGGCTGTCCTGGAACTAGCTCTTGTAGACCAGGCTGGTCTCAAACTCACAGAGATTCACCTGCCTCTGCCTCCCAAGTGCTGGGATTAAAGGCATGCACCACCAACGCCGGGTTTGAACCTATTTCTTGATAGAATTTAAACATATTTGCTCTTTAAACTTAATTGTTAGAAATAAAATAATTACAGACACACACACGAGAGAGTCTGATCCACACTCAATAAGTCATATGAGATAAAGCAACTAAAGAAACAGCAGTTTAAATCTGAACCTTTCATTGTAGCTCTTCCAAACTACTAAATACACACTACAGTTTGCACATTGGAATGATATTCTAAAATATTATATAATCCTCTTCAACATCAAATTATGATGGATGCACACATTGGGAAGCCAAAGTCAGTTCTTTTCTATTAAAAAAAAAATTCTTACTGGATGGTGGTGGTGCATGCCTTTAACCCCAGCATTTGGGAGACAGAGGCAGGCAGGTCTCTGTGAGTTGGAGGCCAGCCTGGTCTCCAGACAGAGTTCCAGGAGCTGTTAAACTGAAAAGCCCTGTTTCAGAAAACCAGAAAAGAAAAACATTATTTTGTTATAGAGTCTTCACTCCTTATCTATATGAAGCAAATTGGAGTGCCATGAGAAGTGATTTGGCAGAACATCACTTGGAAAATGTCAGGAAGAAAAAGGCAGCTGTCACTTATCTGTACAAATCTGAAGCACTCAAACCTTGCTTCAAGAAACAGTGAGTCATCTGGAATGTAATGTGCAGAGGAAGGTGGCACATAAAAGGACTGAACAATGATGAGTTCCCAAAGACAGCCAGTGGGACAAAGAACTATGACATGTGCTCTATTTTGAGGTCTGGCAGCATAACTTGGGAATTTAAAAAAAAAAAAACAGCTCAAAAACAGAAAAAAGGAACCATCTCAAGGAGCTTTGAATTTAAGATAACACAATTTAGTACAGTTTATTTTCATTAGTATAATTATACCATGATAAGAAAATAATTATTGAATTATTAAAAGCCTTTCAGCCCAAAAGTAAGTTAGGGTAAGGAAATCTAATTAAATGTTATGGGGAGGGGACTATCACATGTTTCAATAGACACATAGTTATTTTAGTTGCCATCACTCTATAATGACTGAACACATCTGTCATTTTAGAAGCACCCTTGCTATTCTTTGACAGAATAAAATTCACACTCTTTTCTAGGGATCCCTAAAAATAGTATCTGGAATACAGCAAATCATTGAAACAACTCATTCCCCTATATTCTTGCTCTTTTTTTATATAAATAAGGTATCTTTGACTCTCCAACCATAACAAAAATTTATCTCACCCCACTTATAGGTGTATAGTGTAATAATAGTGATTATGTGATTAAGAAAATGAAGAACTCTATACAAAGAGGACAGTTAGTTCAAAGCAATAGCCTAGCCATATTATAATACTTAAAAACCTCTCTAGAGTAATGTGACATATATGTATAAGCATGGCTTATCTCATTAAATCACTATAATAAAAAACTGATAGGACACATTCAAAATTAACTTACTATTCCTAGTCATCTGGTCAAAGAAACACAATTATAGGGTTAATTCTACTCCCCAGTGGCTTAAGAAAATAATCTTGAATTGAAAGGTGTGCATAATTCTATTGTTATCAGTAATTTAGTGGGTTCCCACTGAAGGTTTCTTTTTATTTAAAAGTTATGTATACACTATTCTGTGAAGTTCTTGTTCCTATAATTAATGCATTCTTAATATCCTTGACTTTATTGGCAATCTAAGATGTTACTTTGAATATTTTGTTGAAATATATGCAATACCTGCATGTTAGACAGTCCAAAGTTTTGACAGTTGGTAGCACAAGTTGGTGTATCATCATAGGGCCCTGGATGACAAAAGAACATTCCTGTGAATTTGGTAACATTGTGAGTAGAAAATGGGATCTTACAGAACTTAACTGAAGAGCATATACATACTAGTGTGTTTCTCTGTTAAAATTACAGTTTTAAATGGTATGTTTGAAAGGGAAGTTTGGAGGAGATATGTCTGTCGCAATTAGGTTACCCTTAAGCTAGCCTGGAAGTGAAAAAGAGCTTTGTTTTGTAGCATAGTGACGTATCCTTATAATGGGGGTAATTGAGGGACAAAACATGAAGGCAGATGTTTCCTATTGTTTGAGATCTTAGCACTAGGAGTTGAGTCTGCCTCAGTGTACCTTTGCTCTGTAACTTGAGGATACCATAGTCCCTGGCCTTCTGGAGCTATTAAGGCAAAATCTTACCAATAATTAGATATGTAAGGGTCCAGCAGTAATAAGTGCAACAAAGAAAAATAAAGCAGATGAAGGAAATATAGAAGACTGTGACAGTCATGAAAAGTCTCTGAGGAGGTGGCACAGAAACAGTGACTTTGGTAAGGGGAGGGAGGTTGCTGTGACTGCCCTAGGGAAAGGTTAGTCCTAGAATGATGGCTTGATCAACAGTTTGGGGACAGGAATGAGTTGGCTGGTTCAAGGTATGGGTAGAAGGCTAGCACCATCAAAGTAGAAATATTAAAAGCAATGGGGAGTCATAGACCTGGTCAAAGAAGAATGCAGAGGCTTACAGGGTAAAAAACGAAGTTGAACTCTTTTTATACAGAGTCCTAGTAATAAATGAATCTATTACCACTAAATAAGCTGAATACATATGTTGGCTTATGTGTATCTTTCCAGGTTGAGTGAATGTTGAAAGTAAGATGAAATCATAATATAGCTTTCATTGCTTTACATTCACACTGTACTAAAATTAGTTGAACTTCAAAGATGTCAAATTTGTGTTTGTGATGGTTTAATGCCCATTGTGATCTGAGAAACTTTTGTTGAGTTTTGTCTTCATGATGTATTAATCCACTGTTATGCTTTAGTGACCATCTAAGTCATCGTCAAAGATTTGTATAATGTCAAGACAAAGGCTTATGTGAACAGTCAAACATATCAAGATAGAGTATTTTTAAAAGCAATAAAGTTATTTTGTGAACCAGAATTTATTTTAATACCTTGTAATATTGCTCTATATTAAGAAAAGCTTATCATGTTTCCATAATTTCTATATATAATTGTAATCTAATATTGCTATTATTAAGATCAGGATCTGGTTATATTAAATAGGTTTATTTAGATATGAACCAAGCTATCTAACTCTAGAATTGGGACTTTTCTAAAAATGTTTTTGAAAAAAATAAAAACTCTTCAGCCTCAGGCTTTATTGGCACCCATATGGAATTCAACAGGTTCAAAGTTGAAGTTTATTTTGAATATTTTCCCAACTTGTTAAAAAATGCCACTAGAAATAGAAACAGCTGAGGGACATCAGTGTTCTTTCTCAGTATAATTCAAAATTTTTCTTTTTTTTTAATCCCAGTAAAAGTAACCATGGAAGAATATTTTGAACCCTTGGGTATTAGATCATGAAACCAACTACACTAATTAGCATAAAATTAAATATGGAGTTAATTTTTGTTGATAAACATCTTGCATATATTAGGAAAATTATAGTGTATGAGTTGCCATATACTTTTATTTTATAAGATAGAAATTAATGCATACAGTATCAAATAATGTGGTAAAAGTAGATGAATATACAATATGAAGCATGAAAATTATTATTACACAAACCTCATGGAAGCATAAGATATCTAAATAAAAAATGAAAGAAACAACTAATTTTGTCCAGTAGCTTAATGTTTAAATTGACTGGACAATGGAATTAAAATGAACTAAATCCTGGAACTTTGAAAAGAATTAGAGGATATACACATACGCAAATAAACTTTCTTCTTGAAATGTTGCCATAGTCAACAGTTAAGCTAAAGAGAAGCAAATCTACACCTAACTATATTAAATGAAAATCAAAACCTTGAAAAAAATAAAAGAGATAAGTCAAATGATGCTTACAAAAACAATTATGTATTTGCCAAATTATGACTTATGTGAAGGATGCAAACTCCAAATGCCTTCTATAATGTTTTAATGTATAAGAAGTTAATATTACAACAGTGGGGAAAGAGATACATCATATTCAGGTGACTTTTAAACTCCATAACTTACTTTTAATATTTGATAGGTACATATATACACACAGAGAGGACAGATGATATACAAGCCAATGATTGATAGATAGATAGATTGGAGAAGATAATTGATAGATGATGGACAGATAGACAGAAGATAGAAAGACAGACTAGATAGATAGATAGATAGATAGATAGATAGATAGATAGATAGATAGATAGATAGTCCACAAAAAGTGGATTAGTCACAGTTCCTCCAAATCACTTCAATTACCAACTGGAAGAAAATGTTTGAAAGGAAAATTTTTATTCTTTTTACATGAAAATTCCCCATGATTCATGACCAGAGAGATGTAAATCAAAACCACAATGTGGTATTGTGTTACACCCTCCAGACTGGCAAAATTAGAAAGTTTGACAACAATTCACAGTTTTGGAAAGGCTATGGTGCAATTAATATCTCATTTGCTGTTGGTAAGAATTTACATTGATTCAGCACTATGGATTGCCTGGAAATATGTCTCATAAGTATTTTCTCGAAAGAAATTCATTCAGGGGGGAGGGGTGGTGGAGGGGAGGAAGAGGGAGAAGAGATTGACATGTGAAGCAAGCTTGTTCCTAATTTGAACAAATTTAAAAAATTACAAAAAAACATTCATTTAGGTGTATGGGGAGATACATAGGGGAACTGTTTATGACTTCCTTTCTTGTAAAGGTCAAATGTTGGAAACAATTCTAACATTCCTCAGCAAGAGAAAGGGTAAATGCATTCTGATATATTCACACAATGAAATACTGCAGTAGTGTTAAATAATATATCACACAACACACTCTAAGAGTAATGTGCGTCACAAAGTACAATGCTATGTGAAAGAAGCAATTGCCAGCCAGGCATGTCTTTAGTCCCAGCACTCAGGAGGCAGAGGCAGGCAGTTGAGTTCGAGACCATCCTGGTCTACAAGAGCTAGTTCCAGGACAGCCTCCAAAGCCACAGAGAAACTCTGTCTTGAAAAACCAAAGAAGAAGAAGAAGAAGAAGAAGAAGAAGAAGAAGAAGAAGAAGAAGAAGAAGAAGAAGAAGAAGAAGAAGAAGAAGAAGAAGAAGAATCAATTGCTACAGAAAATGTGATTGCACTTTCATAAAGTAAAAATCAAAATATTAAAGCTAAATGATTTATTACTTAGAAAGTCATACCAGGGGTAAGTATCTCCAGATATCTAGAACCTAGCATACAGTAACAGTTTACTGGTGGGGTTGTATGTGTGAATAGTTAGGCAAGAACTTGATGATCAAATAAACCAGTTTCTAGTAAAGGGGTGTCTACTTAAATTGGATATTGGTGATAGATACAGCCTTCAAGTGAGATACAAGGTTTAGAGAGTAGACTTTGTAGCACGTTAGCACAGTATGACTGTCTAGAATTGTGCATTTTGAATCTTTATGTCAAAACATAGAAGTACAATGTATGATGAGAATATAGAGGGGATAGCTTTGACTCTCAGAGTACAATCCAATTTGAATATTTTTCTTCCTTTTACAGCCAAAATATTAGAATATTCATGGAAGTTCGCAAGTATTGTTACATGAAAAAATTATGTACTTGGAATCTAATGAGTATGATTTATTTGTGTGAACTCTAGCCATCTGACTTTGTTTTTAAAATCTACATCATACTTTTTTTCTGAGTCTTCTAGGAAACTGGTGATGGAATTTTAGGTAACCTCATACTGTCTGATAGGTTTGATGAAAAGGATTTAAACTTTACCTAATAATCCTGATCCTTTCAGTGTGACGACTTTCTATTCAGAACCTATCCTAGGAAACTGGAACCTGTCAACAGTTTAAACTTCAAGATAGCACCACTTAGAGGTGAAGCCATTATCTTGACCAACTGAGTTCAATATTTAAAACAAGAAGACAGTAAATCTATTTGCTTTTCACAACTTAATAGGCACTTCTTGGAGCTTATCTCAGGTAGTAACTCTTAGGCTTAACCATTAACCCCTAGTACCCAAAAACATAAGATAAAGTTTTTTTTTCCCAACACAATTTTAGATTTACTTATTAATTTAAAAAGTAGACCCTACTCTGTAATGCCCATAATCCATGGTCATGTACCTAGTCCCTCCACATCTTAAATGACATGCTTTTAGATTGGGTTTTTATTTTTTTATTATTGGGACAAATAAAATGTCTTATTGAGCCAGCCTATCTTCTGGACTAGCCTCTTATTTTATCCTGTTATTTTGCTCATTTGATTCAATTTTCCTTTTTTTAAATAAATTCATTTAGTTTTGAGAATTTCCTATATGTGTTTTATATTTACACCATTCCCTCTCTTTTTTATACCTACAACTCCTTCCACACTTCCCTCATCCTCAAATTCTTAGCTTCTTATTCTTTGATTAGTATTGTTACACACACATACACACATATACACACCATTCATATACATTTAATTGTATAAATTCAAACTGCTGAGTTCATTTAGTGTTCCTCTTGTCTTATGTAGTTCTTTTTACTTTCAAATTTCATTCTTGATTTTATATCAGACTTTTCACTTAATTATTAATAATTACTGTTAATTAAGGTGTAGTGTTCTGATTAGTGCCTCCCTCTTTGATTTTGTTCATTTAATTTCTGATTTCATTAACTTCTGCACACGTCTCCAAGCTTTTCTTCCAAATTGCTACTTGTAGCAAGTGTGATCCTCTGGATTTCCTCAAAAGTGAAAAACTTTAGGTTGTGTTAAATGTTTATGGGTTTTAAAATATTTGACCAAAGTGTGGTACATACCAATGTTTGTCTAATCCTGACATCGGTGTTGTAAACCTT